AACGAGCACCAAGGGGAAGAGGAATGGAGCGGTGGTCACAAAGGCGCGCTGGGAACACGTGGGGCGCCCCGCTCCCTATCGTCTCTGTCTTCTTTGGGGACAACGATTAGGACTAGACGATCTCCTGTGACAATCCATTCACAGCGTTCTGCACACAAGACATTATGCGGGTCGCCGGCGATCGATAGTGGGAGGTGGGTTTTCGGCTCGACATCCTTGAGTTCTTTGGAGGTGTGGACAAAGTTGATTTATTGGATTGGCTCTGCGCGGTTCAGAACATCCTCGACTTTCAGGAAGTGTCGGATGGCCGACATGTGGCACTGGTCTCGACCTTGCTGCGAGGACGTGCGACCGCTTGGTGGCAATAGTCTAAGGCGGCTCGACAGTAGCAAGGTAAGCCGAAGGTCACGACTTGGGAGAAATTTTGTAAGCACGCTGAGCGTGAATTTTGCCCTACAATTATGTTCGCACGCTTAACCACCGCTTACAAAATCTTCGTCGTGGCAATCATTCAATTAATGATTATACCGAGAATTTTACCAACGTCTCACGCGTGGATGTTTGTGAGCTATAGACTAGTTGGTGTCACGATTTGAATTTAAATAATAATGTGATTTAATTTGTCAAATTGCAAATATATAGATAACAATAAAAAGTTACAAAATTAATATTAGAGGTGATATGCTTTAAAAATATTGTTATTAATTTGAAATGAATTTAACTTTTAAAATAAGTTTACCATGGTCCAAATTCCAATAAGGCTGTATGCTGGACATACGCGTGGCAGCTGATAATTGGTCACACTAGTCCTAGCAGGCGGCACCATACAAGCCCTCCATTGGTCAAACCCGAATGGAATATTACCACCGTTCCTAATTCTATAAATAAATGGAGACGACTCTGACTCTCCCAATACCGATATCATCCCCTTCTCCATCTCCCTTGCAACCACCACCGCCGCCCACCAACCTCCGCCATCCCCACCGCCGGCGGCGGAATGTCCCTAGACCAGTTAATTTTCCCATGCCCGTAATCGATCTCGCCCTCCGACGCAGCTCCGCAAAAGCTCCATTTGAACTCAGATTCAAAATTCCCCAATTTCCAATCAACAATCACATAAGAAGCTTGATTCCCCCCAATAGTATGGCCGATCTGGTACCAAATAACACGAAATCGCAAACGACGGCGGCGGCGGCGGCGGCGAACGTCGGCGAGAGCAGAGTTGAAGAGAAGACGGGATCGGAAAAGCCGGCGGCAACACCCGTTCCGCCGCCGCCGGAGAAGCCGCTGCCGGGGGATTGCTGCGGCAGCGGATGCGTGAGGTGCGTTTGGGACGTGTACTACGAGGAACTCGAGGAATACAACAAGCTCTACAAGGCAAATTAATTCTGCCCCATCATTTTTATTTTATTTTTGATTGAACAAGGTGCTTGCAAAGCTCTTTGTTTGGCTGGCATTTAGATTTTGGCCATCTGAAATTACAATCGAAATTGAAGCTTATATAAATTATAATTCGAAAAACTGAGCTGAACATTTCGATTGGATGATACTTGATAGTCAAGTGATACGAGTTTTTGTTCTGTATCTTGGGTATAATAATATCTTGATTTGGTCTTTGAGCCGTGTTGTGAATTATCTTGGCTATTGTTATTGTAATACGAGTCATGAAATTTTCAATTGTCTCATGAAACATACGGGCTAACAAGAGTTTGGACGCACTAATCATGCTCCAAAACCCTCGGAGTTCGTCAGGACTCAATGGAAATGCTCGTGACTCACGAGGTCTCGCATCCGTGCAAAAGTTGGGCTCGACGTTGGTTACACTTTTTGGCCACCAAGAGCTGAATTCGACTCGGCCGGTTGCATCCATTTTCAGTCAGGCGGGTCCTAAAAAGCGTCTTTTTATCCTTGCAATTTTTTCCAATGCCAAATAACTAGAAATCAGCATGTGATGAATGTTAATGTGGTGGTATTGCATGCTTTCTTCAAAGCCGAATCACATACATAAGTACATATTTTCACAAACTTATTGGGAACTGGTCATTGAAATTTCCATTTTAGTTTGCAAGTATATTTAGAAATTATTGTCATTCACTGTGAAGTGTTAAAAAACACTTGGGTTTAAGAGTAGGGCTGCAAACGACCCGATCGGAGTCAAGCATTGGTCTCACCGAGTTAGGCTTAATTTTTTTTATTGCTGCTGGAGCTTGAGCAACCGAACTTTTACTGCTATGTTTGGCAAGATTATTATAAAAAAAACAAAAAAAAAAAAAAAAAA